ACACGCATAAAACACAGCGGTAGACGATAAATGTGACAAACGAATGTCAAACAACACACATAAGACGGCGGTATAAGACAAAGGTAACAAAACGAATGTCGAACTACACATAAAACTTAGCGGCGTACGACAAAGGTGACAAAACGAATGACAAACAACACATAAAACACGGCGGCATACGACAAAGGTAACAAACGAATGTCAAACTACACATAAAGGTATACGATAAATGTGACAAACGAATGTCAAACGACACATAAAACATAGCGGCGTACGTCAAAGGTAACAAACGAATGTCAAACAAAACATAAAACATAGCGGCGTACGAGAAAGGTAACAAAAGAATGACAAGCAACATATAAAACACGGCGGTATACGACAAAGTTAACAAAACGAATGTCAAACAACACATAAAACATAGGGGCGTACGACAAAGGTAACAAACAAATGTCAAACAACACACAAACAAAGGAATGTCAAACAACACATAAAACTTAGCGGCGTACGACAAAGGGAACAAACGAATGTCAAACAACACAAAAAACACGGCGGTATACGACAAAGGGAACAAAACGAATGTCAAACAACACAAAAACAAACGAATGTCAAACAACACACAACAATGTCAAACAACACAAAAAAAACACAGCGGCGTACGACAAAGATAACAAACAAATGTCAAACAACACACAAACAAACGAATGTCAAAAAACACACAAACAAACGAATGTCAAACAACACAAAAACAAACGAATGTCAAACAACACACAACAATGTCAAACAACACAAAAAAAACACAGCGGCGTACGACAAAGGTAAACGAATGTCAAACAACACACATAAGACGGCGGTATAAGACAAAGGTAACAAAACGAATGTCAAACAACACATAAAAAATAGCGGCGTACGACAAAGGTTACAAACGTATGTCAAACAACACACAAACAAAGGAATGTCAAACAACACATAAAACACGGCGGTATACGACAAAGTTAACAAAACGAATGTCAAACAACACAAAAAACACGGCGGTATACGACAAAGGTAACAAAACGAATGTCAAACTACACATAAAACTTAGCGGCGTACGACAAAGGTAACAAAACGAATGACAAACAACACATAAAACACGGCGGTATACGACAAAGGTAACAAAACTAATGTCAAACAACACATAAAACACAGCGGCGTACGACAAAGGTAACAAACGAATGTCAAACAACACATAAAACACAGCGGCGTGCGACAAAGGTTACAAACGAATGCCGAACACCACATAAAACACAGCGACGAACGACAAATGTGACAAAACTAATGTCAAACAACACATAAAACACAGCGGCGTACGACAAAGGTAACAAACGAATGACAAACAACACATAAAACACGGCGGTATACGACAAAGGTAACAAAACGAATGTCAAACAACACATAAAACTTAGCGGCGTACGACAAATGTAACAAACGAATGTCAAACAACACACAACAAACGAATGTCAAACAACACATAAAACACGGCGGTATACGACAAAGGTAACAAAACTAATGTCAAACAACACATAAAACATAGCGGCGTACGACAAAGGTAACAAACGAATGACAAACAACACATAAAACACGGCGGTATACAACAAAGGTAACAAAACGAATGTCAAACTACACATAAAACACAGCGCGTACAAAGGTAACAAACGAATGTCATACAACACATAAAACACAGCGGCGTACGACAAAGGTAACAAACGAATGTCATACAACATATAAAATACAGCCGCGTGAGATAATGGCAACACAACATGTCAAACGTTATGGTGGCTTGTCGAGAAGGGACACACATTTCACTTAGATATATAAAGTTTGAATAGCCCAACTTTTATATGAACAGTACTTCTGACCAATATGTAAAGATAAGATGTATGCAAAAACTGGAGAATGATATGTAGAATTTAACTGAAACACAATATAGCACATTTTGATAACTGCACTGTTATATATTATCAACGTGTTTACGTGGGGGTAAACACTGCTGAGTAAACGTGTATAACTTGTCGAGCAGGACATATAACTTACACTTAAAGCTTGACAGTATCAGACAGAAGAAAATATTATAGCATAAACATCATATCAAGAGACTTGGTTTTGTCATCTTAATTGTAGTTTGTCATTTCTCAACCGGTCCCTAGTCATTGATGCGAAACATCGAATCGTTTTGAATAAAACTACACATTACTTCGTATTAACGTATTCCTCCTACATAGACTTTCTATCATATTGGTACGCCTCTGACTTTATCTAAGAATGAAGTAGGATTGTCTAGGAACCAGTAACGGAGAATTCCTTCATTAGATTGGTCTCGGTAACCATAAACAGCCGAAGATACGTTAATCAGATCATACAAAATATCTCAAACTCTATATCTCACCAATCCACGCATAACTGTGGTATTGCACAATACTTCAAGCGAAAAAAATGTATTTCATATATATAGATTAATTCTAAATATAGGATAGATCCCCAGCAGGTGCCCCTTGATAACACAATGTCCATATACAAATAGGACCGTCGCCGTCCACTTCGCCGTCCGGGGACCACGCCGATATTTCCCCACCACTGAACGTCAATACAGTCCGCAAGCCATTAATGGAACTCCGCGAGGATTCGAGCGTGATTTGGAATTAAATTACTAGATTCGCTGCGTTTAACCATCAACATATCGTACGTAATAAACCGACCCCGACTCAGAAGGTATTCCACTTTTCTTCGATCACTGTAGACGGTCAAAGCCATACCAACGTCTTTACCACAGTAAACGGCCGGACCCAGTACCCAGAGATCATGCCAATGTCGTTTTACCACAGAGGGCGATCGGATCCCGTACCAAGAGGCTAAGCCAATGCCCTTCTACAATGTACCACAGTAAACGGCCGGACCGCGTACCCAGAGGCTACGTTACTGTCCTTCCGCCACTTCCAACGGCCGGACGGGTACCTGACACCATGCTACTGTCTGTCCTTCCGCCACTTCCAACGGCTGGACCGGGTACCGACACCATGTAACTGTCCCTCCGCCACTTCCAACGGCTGGACCGGGTACCGACACCATGCTACCGTCCTTCTGCCACTTCCAACGGCTGGACCGGGTACCGACACCATGTAACTGTCCCTCCGCCACTTCCAACGGCCGGACCGGGTACCGAGACCATGCTACTGTCCTTCTACCACTTCAAATGACCAGACCGAGTACCGACACCATGCTACCGTCCTTCTACCACTTCAAACGGCCGGACCGGGTACCGACACCATGCTACTGTCCTTCCACCACTTCAAACGGCCGGACCCCGTACCATGCTACTGTCACTACACCATTTCAAGCGGCCAGACTGGGTACCCAGGGATCATGCTACTGTCCTCTATACGGCCATATGAAGATTTAAATCGTCATGATTGCTTACGACAGAAGATCAGTATATTATTCTAAAATGACAATTCTTGCAACAAAATGATGCCTCAAACAGGTATGACATCGAAGTGAAGAAACGTGTTAGTTAAGGAAGCGTTTCTGGCAATAACATATTTTTAAATAAAAAAATTAACAAGTCCCATTAACTTGCTGAAGGAAAACCTATCATGAAAGACACGAATGGAATATACGGCCTTGAATATATCAAAACGTATTTATTTTCATAACCACAGATTGTCGCGTACATACACGCGCGCTATTTATTTTTTCGTCTAAACTTTGAGAAAAAAACCTTAACGACGTCGGAACCGTGTTTCTACACGTAAGCCACGTTATGACTTGTGCGAATTTATTAATAGAATATAATCCACTGTTTTATTAAAGAACTCATAAACCAAACAAATTAAATGATTGCAATTATTTTAGTCTCATCTCGAGACAGATTGAACACAAATAAGCAATTAACGAACACTTATAAACTTTTACCACAAACTTAAAAAAACACAAATCTGTGTCATTACAATTTTTATTTTTGCCGGAAAATATCATCGGCTGTAAATAGTTTTCAGACCGTTAACCGCGTCAGTATCTCGCCACGTGTGACAATGGGTATTGTTCTAACTTGTGCATCTGTACCTACGTTACCGAGACCTTCCCGCAATGACAATGACATTTTTTATTCTCGTTTATTGGAAATAGTTAAATTATCCATTATTACAAAAATCATATCAATATTTTACACATACATACAATTATACACAAGCGCGTGAGTTCATAATCAAGTATTATAGTACAATTCAATTTGTATATCAATATTCGGTATCATTACAGTAAAATGTTTTACAAGTGAAATAAGTCAATCTAATTAAAATTCGGTCTTCATTTGCTCCATAAATATAATGATATCTCGCACGCGACACATTAATATGATATTGGGCAAATGAAGGTCGGATTTGGATAAGATTGGAAATTAATTGGCTTTGTTACAAAAAAATAATATAGTTGTAAAAAATGGTATATAATGTAAGTCCATGCTTTCACAGTACGATTGGTGTTCTACTCCTAAAAAGATATACCGTCATTGTTATACCTTATGCATATAGAACTTGTTACTGATCAAATTATAACAATAGCTACAGAGTTTCACCGTCTTTAATTATCAGGAAATTCACCATTTAGCTTGCAATATTTGGTAAATAGCTGGTCGCTGTAGAGGAAACTGGTACAATGACCTGGTTGTCGACGACGTAACATACAACTTTCTCTCGATACGGCAGGCCTTTATCCGTGGCTCTTTGTACTGCGGGTTACAATACACCGAGTTACCTGTATATACTACACAGGTGAAATCGAGACTTTGATGTTTCTTTTTAGGGCACGAAATGTATGTACGTATTGATCCATTTACACAGGGAAACACCTGTAGGTGGCGCTTTCGTTGGGAGATCCACAATAAATTATTCATACGACGATCGCTGTGGGCGGGGAAACCCTGGCAAAGTCACGTGATGTACACTGGAAACTCTTTAGATGCATGCCGCCATACGAGCTGTGGTGCTCTGTAAGGCAAGAGGTGTGTGCTGGCTTTACTTCTTTGTGGATTTTTGGGATATACCTGCGAAATATGCCGCGAAAGAGGAAGCGATGTGTTTCACGATGAGAGGAGAAGTGCTGATATTCAGTCTTCTCTGCATGTTGGCCATGGGTATTAAAGAAAAGGCGATTTTGGAAATAGTGTTACATCGAGGCACTGAAAATGGCGAGTACGCTATCGAAACTGAGAGGCTATCCGGATACTATACTTCTGCAGGGTCGACCGTCAGTGCCGAGGGGAACGTTTTACAGGTAAGTCTGTCCCCGAGGGGGATTTATCTGTGTATAGGGGTGTGTATTACCCCCCGGGACCGTGCCCCAGTAGCGTAAACACGACCGAAGCTGAGAGAGTGACAATGTGTATTTGAGGGATCACATCAACTCTGTGTCGACTACTTTACGTGTTGTTGAGGATTTAGAATAATGTCACCGGTGGATACAACATCCCAGTCTCTTTAATACCCGTGTCACACTGCTTGCAGACGTTTTGTTCATCATGGGTTTTGATTTATCTCCGTATATCTGACCGGCCGTGCACGTGTCCACACGGCTGTGTAGACTACCTGTGTGTACGTATGTGTTGTTTACCACGGCCGTTATACAAGCACGCATATTTCCCACGTGATTGACAGCGTTAGTGTTTTAATTGACACAAGTGTATAGAGATAATTAATTGGGTGTATACTAAATAGAAGAATGTAATACAAAGTTCACTTAGATACATTGTTGCTTTCTCCTGTGTAGCGAGTATAGTGTACCTGGTTTGACTAACCTGTTTCGTACAGGTAAAGCTGTTATTGACACACCTAGGGTCCCCGATCTCGGTAGATACGGACCCTTTGAAGTTGATTAGCTAAAATATATCTGGTTCGCTCCGGGCGACCTGAGATTACAGCCCATTATATGTTTGTAGTGGAGGGATCTGAGACGGAGTTGGCAGGGTAAACTGTTTAGGGCAGTATCTCAAGTCCTCCCTTCTATCTCACACAGTCCTTACATTCCTGTGTCAGGGCCCACCTCACGATATAGTCCCGTTCAAAGTGAAGCCGAGTTCTAACATAGCAAGAAATGACACTGTTACACTACATTTAGGACAAGTCAACTACGCTCAAATCACAGACTAATCGTATGTGTGATAATGGCTTTAGACATCTCCATATATTAAAATAGTAAGTCATATATAGGCATACATCTATAATAATGATATTCTACAGAGAAACATTTAATTGGCTTAATTTATCATGTATGTGTAATCCAATTAAAAGTATATCAAATACACATTCTACAAAAGGACTTACAGTAATTTGGTGTATATTAATGACAGAAATCTGTAAAGTACAAGAGGTATTTTCGTTTCTGATGATGGTAGACAAAAACTTAATTCATACCGCAAACCATTATAAATATATGATAATAACCGCCAATTTTTGTTATTATTATTTTGTAAAGTTTAAGTGGATAAAAATTGAATATGTACATACCCTATACTTTAATTGAGGTTTAGAATAAAGTTTAACATCAGGATTGTCCAAGGGAAATCGAAAGTGTCTGCTGGCATATTTGTGTGGCTAATTTATGAGAGATTCCTTTTGAGAATTTTTAATGGAAGGTCTTTATAAACATTTTGATACAAGAATTTGATGGAAAGTCAAGACAAATGAAGTTCCTTTATATAATTAAAGGAAACTTGAACATGTGCGATTGAGAAGCAAAATAAAATAAAATGTTCACTTGATTGAAATTACAATGCAAGGAGCTTTTAAGATCATTGAAATCAATCTTGTAAAATAAATCCCTTCAGTGCAGGTAAAAACAAATATTTAAATATAATAACTAGAAAAATTTGGGACAAAAAAATAAAATCTTTCCCGTCTTCCATCTTTTCTGTGTTTATGAAATATATGAAATAAAATTTAGAACTGAAAAAAAAATCTTCTCTCTCTAAGGTTTTATGAGTAAAAATTAATATAACGATCAGAGAAGTGTGTCTCGGACCATTTCAGTGTTCATAAACTGAAGCACAATTTTTTTTGGGAAAAAATCTGAAAGTTTTAGTAATAAAAATAAATAAACTTAAATGTTCTTCGATTACGTACAATTTCTGAATGTAGTATAATATATATATGTACCATTGTTGCTAGGGCAGTGTCAAATGACAAAATTCATTCGCTGTACAAAACTATTTTCTTTATACCGCTAATCATATCAATAACTTTGATACCCAGTTTGGTTTTTAGGTCACCTGAGTATATGTGATCACCTTCCGTCCGTCGTTGTCCGTGGTGCGTAAACTTTTTACATTTTCGACTTCTTCTCAAGAACTAGGAGATGGAATTTTTTCAAACTTCGTCAGAATCATCCTTGGTAGATGAGGCTAACAAGTTGTAAAAATGGGATTCCTACCCCAACCCCTGGGGCCAGGGCGGGGCCCCAAAAAGAAAATTAACCAATATTTCAAAAATCTTCTTCTCCAGACGTACTTGTCATTTTCTCTGCATGGATGGAAAAATCATCAGGCACTTTATTTGAATTGTAAACTTCAGGACACCCAGGACATCCGTTCTCCCTTGGGGAGGGGGTAAAGTTTACTATATTTTATATAGGGAAATAATACTTTTGGGTTTATTTTGACAATTTTCTGTAGGAAAATATTCTTATTTGGTGAGAATCATCCTTGGAGGAAGATGGTTTCAAATTGTAAAATTGGGATTCCTGTCCAAACACTAGGGGCCAGGGCAGGGCCCCAAAGGGAAACTTAACCAATATTTCAAAAATCTTTTCCCCCAGACCCAGAGGTACTACAATCAATTTCTGTTTATGGATAAAAAAAAAATCAGGGGCTTTATTTCTTTATTTAAATTGTATATTTCAGGACTCCTGGGCCATCCATACTCCCTTGGGGAGGAATAAGTTTTCTAGAGTTTATGTAGAGAAATAACACTTTTGGGTATATTTTATCCATTTTTAGCAGTAAATTATTCAAACTTGGTCAGAATCATCTTTGGTGGATGAGGGTATAACATAGTTAAATTGGAATTCCTGCCCCATCCCCAGGGGCTAGAGTGGGGCCCCGATGGGAACATTTACCAATATTTACTAAAAAAATCTTATCCTTTGATGACATGACAAATATTGTATTTCACTTAGTTTCCATGTTGATTTCCACATCACATTTCAACAATGAAATTAAGCTATCAGTACTACCTATATTATAACTCAGGTGACCGATAAGGCCCTTGGGCCTCTTGTTATATATCCATCTAAGTTGTCGAGTTACAACAGCTTGAATGATATGCTGGAAAGTCAAATATATTTAAAAACTTGTTTTTTACAATTTTTGTAAAAGACCTGATATTATCACCACATGAGATGACTAATGTGTTCCTTCCGCGTGAAAAAGGGACAGCAGATTAGATTGAATCGCAATGGGAGGGAAGAAAGATCATCAGCTGAAATTGGTTGGAGGAGTGTGATGGTAGATGTGTGGGTGAACCGTGTCGGACCTGACCTGTTGTCACACCTGTATTGTGTGATACCTGTTACAGACAGTTTACCCACTTCCCTCTCCCATTCTGGGTCAGGCGTTACAACCAGTTAACCCACTTCCCTCTCCCATTCTGGGTCAGGCGTTACAGGCGGTTTACCCACTTCCCTCTCCCATTCTGGGTCAGGCGTTACAACCAGTTAACCCACTTCCCTCTCCCATTCTGGGTCAGGCGTTACAACCGGTTTACCCACTTCCCTCTCCCATTCTGGGTCAGGCGTTACAGCCGGTTTACCCACTTCCCTCTCCCATTCTGGGTCATGCGTTACAGCCCGTTAACCACTTCCCTGTCCCATTCTGGGTCTGGCGTTACAGCCCGTTAACCCACTTCCCTCTCCCATTCTGGGTCAGGCGTTACAGCCCGTTAACCCACTTCCCTCTCCCATTTTGGGTCAGGCGTTACAGCCAGTTAACCCACTTCACTCTGCCATTCTGGGTCTGGCATTACAGCCGGTTAACCCACTTCCCTCTCCCATTCTTGGTCAGGCGTTACAGCCAGTTAACCCACTTCCCTCTGCCATTCTGGGTCAGGCGTTACAGTGATAGGGAATTGACTTTAGAATTAAATTGCAACACATATTTTGTGATAGAGACTGCATCAGTGATCAAAGGGATTGGAAAGCCTTTGAGTTGTCATTATAATCAGTCATTTACAAGCTTCCTTATCTCTGCTGACTCGTTGTTAGTATCGACAGCTTTAAATTTGCTTTGTTCTCACACTTTTTAGTGTTAATTTTGACATTTATAGAAAGTATTTCTATCATCACAGAATCGATTGACCATGATTTTCAATCTGAACATGCCTGTTGTCTAATGTTTTCAATGTTTAATCTAAATCAGTACAACATGTGCAAATTGTTCTACATTAACTTACAATGAAGAAGCTTACTAGTTTTATACAAAATTGAGTGAAGAAATAATAAATCAATTTATTTTGTTAATTGAAGCCAGGTGATTTAGTTGCTATTATAAGACCATGAATAGGCTTATGTTACTTTGTAAGGTGTTTTAATGAGTTGTTCTCCAGAAAGTGCTAATACACTGCAGAGTTACAGCTGATAATTGGGTCGGTATATTGAATTGTCAAAAGTGACAGAGGTAAAGCCTCCAAATGATGTCTGTATATTGTAGTTATAAATCAAGTAAGACCTATAGGCTTCATATCTAGCTTATCAAGTATGTTTCCTGTAAATGTAGCGCAAAATTCCTTTCATTGTAAGATGCCGAAAATCCCAATTTGGTTAATATAATTATAAACTGAAGCTTATGTGGTCGTTGGATGGCACACCAAGATAGCGAGAATGTGATCATGAGTTTCAGATTGGAGGTGTAAAAGATATAATAAAGTCATGATCACATGCGCATGCCCAGCTGTGCAGATTTTCTTCATGTACTCCGGTGTCCTCTTGTTTTATATCCTGTCCCCTTCTTCCAGTGTACTACCATCTAGGCCAATTGTAGTAATTACTATAAGTTGATTAGTCTTCTTTTATAATTAATTTTGTTGTAAAATAAAGTTAGATTTTCAGGAGCTGATGCTTCCCCTTTTTAAGAACCAGACTGTTTGTTGCCTGAGCTACCTATAGCTACATATATATATAAATCAAGAGAACTTTTTTAGATTCTTCTTATGACTTTGGAAATTCACGTTTTTATTAGGATCTCTGCAAAGCATACTTCCTCAGAGGAGTGCATACCAAACTGAACA